TTGAATGAGTTAGATTGTGATATGATTTATTGCCAGACCCAAATGAAATCAATCAAATGATTGAAGTTCATGAAAGAAAGTTTACTGAATGTTTCATTAATTATTGTGCTGAGTATAAGCTTAATTATAAATAGATTGTAATAGCTGTGGTATGTTTTAATGAGCCTGAAAGGTGAATCAAAATACAATCTGGAGAACATGCAGTGAAACTTAATTCTAAAAAGAGATTTTGTTATTATCTAACTGATTTTAACCCATGACTCATAAACTGACCACAACTGCATGGCCTTGAGGGTGCTTGGTCATGGCATTGTGATTTGTGACTTCAACACCTCTTGATCATCAGCTGATAAACTGGGGAATTGGACCTTTCAAACCTGCAAAAGTTCCCCTGAAAAGAAAAAAAATTGATCTCCTCCTGCACCATAGACACTGTGAGTAAAACAAAATTCTTTTTTTTGGTGGAAATTTTTTAAAGGAAACTAAAAAAACAAAGACTGCAAGAGAGGCAAAAAATAGAAAATGGGTAAAGGCAAAAGAAAATGATACTAAGTCAAAGTTTGCCTTTTGGGCATGCCCAAGTGGAAAACTAAACTATTGGCCTCAAAGTGAAAGAGAAAGTTAGTTTCAGTCTTCAAATAATGTTTTGTGACATTTCATGATTTGGTCACAATTTTTGGAGAAAAGAGCCCAAAATTGACATGTGTACATGTAACATAAAACCATTTTGTAGAAAATCCCTGAGGAATGAAAGGGTTACCCTTGAAAAAAACAAAGAATTTGATTGTGAGAAGCATGTATGCCTTTTTTTCACATTTGTAGTGCTTTTGCCCACACACACAGAAAAAACAACTTTACAAACACAACTTTCCTTAAAACTATCTTGCTAACATTAGCAGTGTTTCAGCCAGAAAATTTTACTTCAGAGCCAAATTGGCCCCTGAAGATCTTTTTTAGGGGCCAATTTTTTAGAAAAGGGGCCAATAAATTGAAAGCCACAGAAGGAAAAAATGCATCAGGGTACCAAGAAAAATAAAGCAGCTTATTAGGATCTATGATAAAATTTAATAGTAAGAGCTTTTTGAAGTGTTTCTACTCTATAAAGTTTCTTTTGAATCAGATACCAGTATGAAGGATCCGTACATTACAAGAGAACAATCCTTAGGCATACATGATGTAGTCAATGATTAAGGGTTTGCAATGCATTATAGGNCTAAAAAGAAAAAAAATTGATCTACCCTCCTGCATCATAGACATTTTGAGTAGAAAAAATTGACCACTTTCCTTATTGTTTTGGTGCAAATTTTTTAAAGAAAGCTAAAGACCAACAAAGATGGCAAAAGAGAAAACAAATAGAAAATGGGTAAAGGCAAAAGAAAATGATACACTACAGTGTTTTAACTTTTTCTAAGTCAAAGTTTGCCTTTTGGGCATGCCCAAGTGGAAAACTATACTATTGGCCTCAAAGTGAAAGAGAAAGTTAGTTAGATAGATGTCATACCGATCTATTAATATCTTTCCCCAGTTTGTTTTGTCTTCTGTAATAGTTTTGTTCCATCGCTTTGGGCCTGCGTGCTGATCATTGTATTTGCGATGAATAATTGGCCAATAAGAAGTCTTTTGACTTTGCCTTAGGCAAATTTATATTTACATTTTCAGTTAGATGGAAGGATTCCGGGTCCTCATGACTAATACTTTCAGATGTTAAATCCTTGGATTTTGCTTTTGTCAGGAGGTGACCTGGAATAGCAGAAATAACTTGGTGATAATGAAGGAATGAAGTTTTCTTCAATGAATATTTGTGCTGAAAGATCGGAAAGATGGGGCTTGCCCTTTCTCATCTAAAAGATTTTCAATTCTTTTAATGCCTTTTGTAAAGCATCCCTTCCAGAAAAAAGTTTTACCTTCGATGCAAATTTCCTCATAATCAAATAAGATTGTATCTCCCACATCACATCCATAAAGAGTCTTCAGTTCATGAAAATACAGGGGGATGTCCTTGTAAAATAGGGGCAAATTTTCAAAGTCCTCTACATGTCAAAAGAAAGCGAAGTCCTCCATAAGTTTTTAAAAAATGATCTGGAGCAAATTTCCAATTTGATTGGCTATTTTGCAACAATCTCAGAATCCATGCTAACCTTAACGCTTTCATCATTGTTACGAAGTCTGTCATACGCAGCTCACTGTTTTCATAATCCTGGTATAATCCCTCTCTTTTTATTTTGTTCCTTTTATTTTTCCCCAGAAAAGAAAACAGCCTTCTCTTGACATTGCCGGCAATAGCGT